TTTAGATTTTTGTGGGTCCATAGTAGGTGTATATATTTATGAGGTACATGAGATGTTTTGATACAGGCATGCAATGTGAAATAAGCACATTGTGGAGAATGGAGTATCCATCCCTGGAAGCATTTATCCTTCGAGTTACAAATAATCCACATACCTTCTTTAAGTTATTTTAAAATATATGAGGTTTTCCAAAAAAGAATGCTTTCTGCGAGAGGCACCCCATGGTGAGGGTTCTTTGTGGTGGCGGAGGAATTAATGAGGGTAGATTTGGATTTCACACCCTTTCTACGGAGGTGATGGGAGCTCTCTTTCTATGTTTGCTTTGCAGGTGCTGAGGGCAGTGAGTCATCTTTGTTCAATCTTGTTTCTCCTGGCGACACAGGAATGTACCTTTACCAAAAACTTATCACAGAATCTATGATGTGTTATTTCCATTTGGTTAGTGATTAAAACTATCTTTGGGTTTCCTCCTACCATCTTTCCACATTTACTTTGGGAAAATGCAAAAGGAATATTTCATTTTCACCACAGTAGTGCCTGTGATACATGCAGTCATGAGCTGGTAATGAAAAAAGCAAAGAGCTGCTTAGCTTTGATTTAATCCGTAAATCACTTGGAAAACCAACTGAAGGGTAAAAAGGTTGCAGAAGGCACTGGAATTCTCTTTTTTGTTTTTTCAAAAGAAAGGGTCTCGCTATATTGCCCAGGCTGGATTCAAACTCCCAGGCTCAGGCGATCCTGCTTCTGCCCCAAGTGGTTGGGATTACAGGCATACACCACTGCTCCCAGCAACAATGGAATTGTTAAAAACAGGCTGGCCACCTGTCTGACTTACTTGCAGTTAGCACCCACACTGCTTATGAAAGTAGCAGTGAGTTTCAGGCCTTTTCCTTGTGGTTCATGTGACCTTGTGTTCCCAGTATTTACCAAATATTTTAAATAGTTTCCCAAAAAATTTCCTCTTTCATTTCGCACAGTGTGCACATTCAGACCATAAAAGGACCTACTGGAATAAATGCTGAAATTTCACAAACCACAGTGTATCTTAATGATAGGTTTTTAGATATAGATTTACCGGGGGGCTTTATAGTCGTTTCATGATAGGCTGAATTTTTCTAAGTCTTTGATATTTTCCAGTTTGCCTCCTTGGGATTGCATTTTGGTAGAGAAGTCTTCAATACCCCAGTTTTCTTAACTTCAGTAGTCGTTAATTGAACAACTACTCTCGGCAATAACCTTCTTCTATACCATGGAGGATATCAAACCAAAAAGGAGAATTGACCAGATGTAGTCACTGCTTTGTAGAATTTTACATTGGGAGGGGAGGGATGGAAAGATAAACAGAATCACAGGAATACGGAGAGAGGCAGATTCATTCCAGCTGGAGGGGTTTGGGGAAGGTTTGTATAGGACGTGGCATTTGAACTTGCCCTGACATGATTGGTTGGAAATAGACAAAGCGGTGATGGGTTGGGAGGGCATTTTAAATAATGCAAATAGATTGAGCAAAGGCTTGGAAGTAGAACAGTGCTTGGCATTTGTTGGGAGAAGGGGAGTGACAGTCACTCTGTGGACTGGAATCGTAGTTTTAATGGGACAGGCGATAGGAGATGGTCTTCATCCAACTGTGTGGTAAATATCCTCTGGCCATTTAGGCCCCCTCTGTAAGACACACAGCCAAAATTTAATATATGATTAGAATGCAAAAATCTATCATTATAAGACAAAAATCAAGAAGCAATGTATGTGGTGGTGAAGAACACAGATTTGAAGCTAAATTGTCTGGGTTCAAATCCTTAATAGCTGTTATCTTGGGCAAGCAACTCAGCCTCTCTGATGCCTCAGTTTCCTCACATATAACATGAGTGTAAGAATAGTCCCTATGATAGATTAATTGCAAGAATTAGATGGTTAACATGAAAAGGGTTTACAGCAGTACCTGACATATAGCATAGAGTAGTATGTAATTGTTAGTAATTAGTAGTAGTGGTTGTTGTTTTAGTATTTGTATTTGGGTATAATGTGTCATTTATCTTTTTTCCTCTGAGAAAGATTAGTCTTTCTGTAGTGTATATATTCTAAATAATTTTGCATTAGTGAAAGTATAGCATCTCAAGCTCATAAGTGCATGAAGACTCATGCAGGAATTTTCATTGTGATAAAAATGTCTGTCTTTCAGAGAGAATTTGTGCTTTGCATTGCAGCTGTCTAGTTTCACTGGCTTCTTCTTGGGACGTGGCAGATTGTGAAGGTTGATTCGTTGTGTAGCTTATTCACATGTGTGTGCATGTGTATACCTGTGTGTGTATCACAGGTTTTCATTGAGTCCATTTTGAAATGAATGGGATATTTATAGAAGAGAATAATGTCTTTTCTATCAGGAGGGTGTCTTGGTTACAAGCAACAGAAATCGACTTTGGCTAATTTAGTCTTAAGAGGACTAATTGGAAGGCTGCTAGGAGTGCCTAGAAGGGCCAGAGGCTGGGCACCAAACTTGAGAAAAAGCAAGAAGCAAGGTAGCTTGGGTGACTAGGAAACGCAGTAGCCAGGTCACAGGCAAACAGCCTGGTCTGCGTGAAGCCGTTGTTGCTGTCATTGTCACTGCAGTGTGGGATCCCCAGCTTCCACTCATTCCTACTGTCCTCATGTAACTGCTTGTTGTACAATAGCAACAAATTGGAAGCAGTGTAAATGCTTAGCAATAGGGATCTTAATACATTATGGAACAGCCATATAGTGGAATAATTGCAGCCCTTAAACATTTTATGTAAGAATATCGAATGACATAGAAACTGTTCACACATTCTATTAAGTGAAAGTGGCAGGTAGCAAAACCATATGGGCAGGATAATGACATTAAAAATCTGATGAAGTAGGCATTACTGCTATTCCTATTTTACAGATGACGCATAGACATATTAACTCTTTTGCCCAACATCACGTGGGCTAGGAAGTGGAAGAGGAGGGTTTAAACCTGGGAGTGAGACTCAGAACCAGGCACTTAGCCATTTCACTGTCCTTCCCCTGATAAAGACAGGCTCTAGAGGAAAAAGTAATAATAGAGTTATAGGTGGGTAGTGAGATCATGGATACTTATATTATTGTTTATTCTAATTTCTGTGAACATATTTTACCTTTAGTAGTGACCAAAATGATTCTTAAGTTATTGTAAAAATATAAAGTTTTAGAATACTTTTCTTCCAGTTGAAAAGTTATGTGTTCAGGTGGGACATGATGACTCATGCCCATAATCCCAGCACACTGGGAGGCCAAGGCAGGCAGGTCACTTGAGGTCAGGAGTTGGAACACCAGCCTGGCCAACATGGTGAAACTCCATCTCTACTAAAAATACAAAAATGACCCAGGTGTGGTGATGCACACCTGTAATCCCAGCTACTTGGGAGGCTGAGGCACAAGAATTGCTTGAATCCCAGAGGCAGAGGTTGCAGTGAGCCGGGATCACACCACTGCATTCCAGCCTGGGCAACAGAGCAAGACTCTGTCTCAAAAAAAAAAAAAAAAAAAAAAAAAATTTAAAAAAAAAAAAAAAAAAAAAAAAAAAAAAAAGGAAAGTTATCCAGAGATATCCATCACAAATTTCTTTTCATATATAACAAGAAAATTTGAGAATTGTCTCCAGTAATATATGAATTTTCTCTTTGAACTTGTGGGCCCTACTGCGTGTGTTTATTGTAGATAGGATAAGCAATTTCTATCACTGAAACCAGAAAACATCTTTGGAATTTTAAACTCAGTTTTGCTGTGTTTTGGGGATTACATAAAAGCGTTGATAAAATAGTTTGTGCTTTAAATGGAAGATTTAAATCTGTGAAGCTTTTTAAGATTTGTGTTTGTCACGTCTTGGCACACATTTCTTGTTTGTAGAGTCTGGTTATGAAAAGACTGTGGTTTCCATATGTATATTTAAAATACTCTGAGTCATGGATTCAAATGAGTAATTGACATAATATATCTCCATCAGATTTCTGCTTTGTCATAGCTTCACATGAGGGCAGTACCTTTATTTTAGTACTTGTAATAGCAAACGTATTTAATTAGCAAAATCGTATTCATTTTAAATACTTTTCCCCAGTGTCTTTTATGACTTTCCAGAAATTGCTTTATTGGAATGAAAATGTGTGTTTGATTTCACAGGAAGCTTAGGAAAAGGGTCACATGTATATGAACACAGGCATATATATATGGTGCTAGAAGTGATGTGCACATAGGTGTTTGGAGATTAGAAGCTTCATGTCTCCATTTCCTCCCCTTTTTTACTAAGTCTCAACTTAAGATCTGAAACCACATTGATTGTAAGATGTACAATTACATGTGCCACCAAAAAAGAAAAAAATGTGATTGTAGCCAGGTGTGGTGGCTCATACCTGTCATCCCAGTATTTTGGGAGGCTGAGGTGGTTGGATCACTTGAGCTCAGGAGTTTAATACCAGACTGGGCAACATAGTGAGACCCCATTTCCACTAAAAATACAAATATCAGCCAGGCGTGATGGCATGCACCTGTGGTCCCAGCTACTTGGGAGGCTGAGGTGGGAAGATCGCTTGAGCCCGGGAGATGCACTATTTATTGCACTCTAGCCTGGGCAACAGAGTGAGACCGTCTCAAAAACAAAAAACAAACAAACAAACAAAATGCAGTTCTAAGATTTATAATTACATGCTCCACCAAAAGAGAAAAAAATGCTATGAATTAAATAGAATAATTAAATAATGTTGATGCTTTCTAATTATCTATAACCTTTATTTATAATATTGAAAGAGCCACTTATTTAAGTATAGATTTTTTGCATATGTTATTCTCACATCTACAAAATTTAAAAGTATAAGAAAAACAGATTAAAGAATTCTTAAAATGTCTTCACAGTCAGTGTCCATCTCTTCTGAGTCATCTGTTTGACACAGAACCAACAATATTTGTATTTCCACTAATGAGTAATCAAAGTGTTGACAAGGCAGCTTTTCTGGAAGAGGGCTCTGTAAGTTTTTTTAAACAGCTATATTAAGATTGAATTCACATATCATATAATTTGTCCCTTTAAAATGTAAATGTCAATGGTTTTGGGTATACTCAATTATTCATTTTGTAAATTTGGTAAAATATACATTATAAACCTTGCCATTTTAACCATGTTTAAGTAATGCAATTCAGTAACATTAATTACATTCAGAATGTTGTACAGTCATAGCCGCTGTCTATTTCCAAAACATTTTTTAGTCACCAAAACAGAAACTCGGTAACCATTAAGTGGTGACTCTCCATTTGTAAGTATCACATCCATGTATCAGACCAGTGTTTCTTTTCCATTGTTGAATTTCCATGAGAACTTGTTCTCCCCTGTCCCTTGTTTTTTTAACCAGTGAATCAGACACACACAACACACACACACACACACACACACACACACACACACACACACTGGCACTACCACATAGCATGCATTTGTCATGATATTCTTATAACTGTTGAGTGAATAGTTCTCTTTCAAAACTCTTTAAAGACAGATGCGTAGGATGTTATTAATATGTACAAAGAACAGCCAGATATTGAAATAATTTCATTAAAATGTTAGGGAGATTATAGAATGTATAAAAATATAAAAATTCCATGTTACTATGTATAGGATCTTATTTTAACTATCTTTTATATAGAGTGAAAATTTAAGTGGAATCAAAGTTTATAATCCTAGTATGCCCATATAAAAGGGTAGCCAATATACAATACCTTGTCTTTTAAAATTTCAAGTATACATCATAATATCACATTAAAACTCTTTGAACATGCCTAAACATGGAAATGCAAAATAAGAAAAATTAAATCATTCCCTATTTTTGTATGTATCTTTTTGTTTTTTTTGAGACAGAGTCTTGCTCTGTCACCAAGGCTGGAGTGCAATGGCATAAACTCAGCTCACTGCAACCTCTGCCTCCTGGGTTCAAGGTATTCTCCTGCCTCAGGCTCCCAAGTAGCTTATAGGCACCCACCACCACACTTGGCTAATTTCTGTATTTTTAGTAGAGATGGGATTTCACCATGTTGGCCAGGCTGGTCTTGAACTCCTGATTTCAGGTAATCCGCTCGCCTCAGCCTCCCAAAGTGCTGGAATTATAGGCATGAGCCACCATGCCTGGCCATGCTTAGACATGGAAGTCTTCTGTTTCAAGGCTCTAATCTTCTGTTTCAAGTCTCAGTTTAATTATTGATAGAATGTTTCCAGTATCATTTTTTTCCCTTTAGGGTGAGATTAAAATGTGTAGACCTTTAGATGTAGAATTCCATTTACAAAAGGTGATCATACATTGGGCAATAAGTTAAATATATTTATTGTGTTTCAGTCTGAAATTTAATTGTGCATGTCTCTGGTAGGGTATTTTTTTGCTGTTTAAATCTCTGCTCCAAATATGAGCCAGGAGCTCTGTAGCTCAGTTTTAAAATTAGTGGAAACTGCATGTTATATGAATGGAACATTCTTTTTTTTTTGAGTCAGGGTCTTACTCTGTCACCCATGCTAGAGTGCAGTGGTGCAATCACAGCTCACTGTAGCCTCGAACTCCTGGGCTCAAGGGATCCTCTACCTCAGCCTCCTGAGTACTGGGACTACAGGCACTCTCTAC